CCCCCCCCCCCCCCCCCCCCGTGGAAAAGAGCCCCTCCTCGGCTTCCCCCAAAGACGCCAGCTGAGGCGGATGGCAGGGCGGCAGAGCCTTTATCCTGGGCACCTCCGGCGGTGCTTCTCTCGCAGCGGAGGCGTAGCCAGAGGGGCCACCGGCTGCCTGGACGAGGCGCCTGCGCAGTTACAAAACGGGTCACCTCCTATTTACAGTGGCAGGGCCGTTCCTGCCCCACAGCGCTCCGGAAAGGGGGTCGCCTATGCCCAGCCGCTGCAAGGCACTCGGGGTCTGCAGGCCTCCCTCGGCCCCTCGGCTGCCTTCGGACTCTCGGAGAGCGGCTTCCTTGCGGCTGGCGTCTACAAAAGGCAGGGAGGGGAGGCATGTGAGGAGGCGCAGGCACTCTGACCAGCGACAAGGAGGCATTGGCAACCGCTGGTTCCCGCGTCCTGCGCGAGGGTTGGAGGGAGTCTCGCTGCCCGCTGGCCCTGCAGGTGCCCTCCCTCTGCCCTCTCCCTAGGCCTGAGCAGGGAGGTGTCCTTCTTGGGGGGGGGGGCGGGGGGTGGCTTCTGAAGTCCCTGACGATCCAAACCAAAGGGCCTGCCTTCCCCCCGCCCTGAGCTGGGGCTCGTGGTCTGCACAGCGCATGTCCCTGGGGCCCAGGGGAGCGAAACCCCCGGCCCAACACCCCTGGAGGCTCCGCTCAGAGGCTTTCAGAAGCTGCCTTTGGCACCCACCGACTCCTGGGACTGGATGGGGGCCCTCCTTCTGCCTCCACTTTCGGGTAGGGAGCTGGAGGAGGGCCACCTGCAGGCATCCTCTACCCCTGCCCACCCGGCCTCCCCACCTGGCCTCTCAGACCCCGAGATTCATCCCGCAATGGTTGCCACCCTTCAGGTTTGATGCCCACTGCGACCCCTCGGCCGAGTCCTTCCCGGGGGAGACTGGCGCGACACTGGCACGCAGCCCCAGTCGGACGCCAGAGGCCTGGTTGACTGTCTCCTCCGCCGGTCCCGGGCAGCCCCTACCTTGGGCTTCTTGAGGGCCTTGTTCAGCCTCTTCTCCTTGCTCAGCTGCAGCCGCGTCCTCTCCAGCGCCTCCTTCAGCAGCGCCTTCTCCTCCGCGTCCCTGTACACCTGGTCGGCCAGCTTGGCCGCCTCCGACCGGCAGGCCTGCAGGCTGGGCTTGTTGCTCCTGTGTGGGGCCCGGGGTAGGCACTCTAATGAGCTCCTGCCCGGAGAATCGGCCTTATTTGGGGGAGAACCCACCCACCGCTTCCCCCAAGCTCCGTGCTCCTGAGCCCTGCTAGCTGAGCCCCTCCCCCCTCCTCCTCCTCCTCCTCCCAGGTACCTGAAGGGCCCGGCGTCCCCCTCGTACTCCCTCAGCAGGGACTCCTTCCTCTGCAGGCGGCTCTTCAGCTTGCTGATCCGGTCCAGCAGCAGCTCCAGGTTCTTCTGGCGCAGCAGGCTCACCTTCTCCCGCTCGGCCTGGGACAGGTGCTTGAGAGTCCGCAAGCCCATCAGCTGCTCCACATCCATCAGGCCCGAGAGGCCCCGGACAAGGCTGAGGTACTGGGGGGGGGGGCAGAGGCGAGAGAAGGGAAGTGGGGCCGGGGTGAGTCCTCTGACTTGAAGCGCCTGCCGGACGCCCGGAGCCGAGGCCCGAGGACAACGGGAAGGCCCACGCCGGCAGCCTCCCCCACTTCCCTACCAGGTTCTCGCTGAGGTCCAGCGCATCGGCCATCTCCAGCCTGGCGGTCCTCTCAGTGGCCACGTTGAGGTCGGTGCCGGAGGGCCCAGCTGGAGGCTCCGAGGAAGGAAAGACAGCGAGAGCTCCTGAGGCAGGGCCCGCGGGCACTTGCACCTGGAGCCTGCTTGGCACCTCCCCCCTGCCCACCTGTTAAAGGAGCCGAGCCCCAGGACGCCCCCGAGAGCTCAGATTACCTGGTGGGCATCCATTGCCACCTTCAACACCATCGTCGCGGGGCCCTTTTCCCTCGCCTGCTCTGGCTTCTCTGCCGGCCCTTTGCGCACAACCAGAAGCGGCTGGGAGTTATTTGTGTCTACAGGAGGGAAGAGGGGGCCACGTTCAAGGCAAGCTCTGGGTGAAGGGGAGAGCAGGCCGAGGCCGTGTCTGAACAGGACGGCACTTCGGGGGTCAGGGCCGGCACCTCCCGAGCCCTCCAATTCTTCGCTTTTGATAGAGAGGGATCCATTCAGACCAGAGGAACCCAAGGAAGCTCAAGGCAGGACCCCGGATGCCGGAGGCCAAGCAAGCCACCAAGAGCAAGGGGCTTCCCCTGGAGGGAGGGCCCCGCACCCTTGCATTGTTCTTGGGGCACCCCTGAAAGCACTCAGTGTGAGGATGCCCCCCCCCCCGCAAAGCAGACTCCGTACTGCAATAGTTAATGTGGACAAGGAGAAAAGCCGTTGATCGTCTCCAAACGAGGCCATTTTAAGACTAAGCTGGCCGAGGAATTCTGGGAGTTGAAGTCTTCAAAGTTGGAGAGACCCCGTTTAGGCCTACGGCAGCTCCTGCCTGCCTGTCTTCTGGCATGCCGTCCTGGGCGCTCCCCGCCCCCACCCAAAAGAAGCCCTTGGACATATCTCAAAACGGGGGGAGCACCAGCCAAGCCCCTGACTCGCCCTTGTCCAGTTTCCGGAGCTTCTTGCGCAGCTCAGCCAGGGCCTCCTTCTGCCGACGGATGACCTCCTCGTGGCGAGAGCCTTTGCATCTGGCTCCCAGGTCAGCCAGGCACAAGAGCGGGGGCTCCTGGAAGCACAGAGACAACCCCCCCCCCAAACTCAGCATGCCCTGTCCGAGCCAGAAGGCCCCAAGGGGGTGTGGGGTGCTTCCTCGGGCAAGCTGGCTGTGGGATTTGGGCCAAGGGGCTCCTGCAGTTGCGTCAGGCCACAAGAAGCCCTCCGGCCACTGGGCCAGTTTTAGGTTTCCTGGGGCTGAAAAAACGCTTCTGTGATAAGCCCCCCCCCCCCACCCCAAACCACCCACTGTGAAGGGAGAGGGGTGGTGCCTGGGTCCTCCGAGCATTGAGGGTGGGGGGGAGGTGGCAGCCAGAAGGAGCAGCCACCTGTTGCCGTTCCCTCCCACAAGCTGCCTTGCCAGCCCCTCGTCAGCAATTAGAGCAACAATTAGCAATGACAAAACTTGAGGCTCGCACAAAGGTGTGATGAAAACATTGGCTGATTATGGAGAACTCCACGCAAGGTTCCCCCCCCCCCCGAGGACTCCCGAGGGCCCCTCCCCACTTGCCTTTGCAGCAGGGGGGGCCTGGTCCTGCAGGGCCCCCGTGGTCTGCACGCCCTTGTGCTGCACAACCCTGGCCGGCTCCATGGCCTTCGCCTCCTGCGCCTCCGCCAGCAGCTCCTTCACCTTCTCTCTGGCCTTCCTGCAGCAGAGGCAGGCATGATGGAAGCGGAGAAGAGACCCTCCCAGGGCCCCTTCCACCTGCAACTCCCGGTTTCGATCATGGGACTGCGGGGAGGCTGCAGTGGTCGTAAGCGTGAAAAACGCTCCCAAGCCCCTTTTTTCAGGGCGGTGGTAACTTCAAACGGTCCACTAAACGAACCGTTGTCAAGTCGAGCTCAACCCGCATAGGAGAGAACCCACCTGCAGCCCCAAAGCACATGGGGGGGGGGCGCGGCCCCCTCACCTTAACTGCTCGGTGGTGGCTTGGAGGTCGGTGTCCCTCTGGGCCAGCGTCCTGGAGGCCTCCGACAGCTTCTCCCGCAGGAGGCCGAGTTCTCGGGCCTGGCTCTGCACGAGGCTCCGCTTCTCCTCCAGCTCCGCTTTCTGCTTGTCGCTCAGCTCCCCTGCAGAGGGGAAATGCGGGGGGGGGGGGTGTCCCTTAACTCCCTGGAGCCTGGCCCCCCCCACACCTCCTGGGCTCTGAGGCAGCGTTAGGGGGCCCCCACATCAGCCCCCGCCTTGTGCCCGGCTTTTCCCCCTGGGCTGCTCTGAACTCTGATTTGCCCCCGCAAAGGCGACCCAACGGGAGAGTAGTCGGCACTACTGGGGCCGGTGTTTCCCTGAGAGAGAGGAATGGATCCACTTCCGTTTCTACCTGGAAAGGGACCCTGGCCGAGGAAGAGGATTTTAACCTTTGATTTTAGGTTTTGGTGGTGAGCCTGGTGGCCGCTGTTGCGAGAGAGGCAGAGGAAAAGGTCCTGGCCACTACACCTCTTCCTTTCCTCCCTCAGCTTTCTAACTTTCTGCTTCTTTCAGTGTTTTGGTCTCATCATCATAAACTTTAATAAAAATTCAAGCACAAAAAGGCAGCGGCCGGGTGGGAGACATTAAGAATCTGTGTCCAAAGCGACACACGTGTCACAAACCGATCACGTCGGACATCGTGGCTCTGGCCTGGCAAAGCTCCCTCTTGAGCTCCGCGATGACCGCCTGGTTGGCCTGGATCTCCTGCTTGGCAGCTGCCAGCTCCTCCCTGGAGAGCCCGGGAACAAAGCCCCCCCCCCCCGGGGGGGTGGGGGGAGAGACAAGAGCAGGGCAGGGTCAGTTTTAGTGGCGTGGTTGGAGAGGCCCAGGCTTCCTCCATTAAGGGAAGCCCCCTCCCTTCCCCCAATGGTGGGTCGGCCACTGCAGGAACGGGCTGGGAAGGGCTCCTGGGAGGACCTTTCCCCACTTCAGCTGCCCAAACTGAGAGCAGAAACACCCCCGGGGTCTGGATTTCCCCCCCCCCCCCAAGGGAGCGAAGGCCCGACTTACTTCAGGAAAGCGTGAAACTCGTCCATGATGCACAGCCCGGGGGAGGCAGGCAAGGGAGCCTTGCAAGGCTCCTTCTTCGCTTCTGGAGGGGGAAAAAAGTTGTGGAAGATGTGGGAAACAGTCTGGACTATGGCACGTTTCTGAGAAAAACCAGTTTGGTTTTCCCATGAGGACGAGCCCAAAACCTCTGGGAAGGGTCTTCATTTAAACCACGGTTTACTCCGCAGAAAGAGACTAGAGTTAGCCAAGGAGAATTTCCCTTCCCAAACATTCCTGAGTCCAACGAGTGTCTTTTTGAAATGATTTTCAAATTCCCCGGACAGTTTCAAACTCTGACCCACCGCAGCTGGAAAGCGGAGGGCTACAAGGGTGGGGCTGCGGAGGGATGAACCGCCAGCCCCCAAAGCAGCCTCTGGACGTGCTCACCCGCGGCCAGCCGTGGGAAGCAGCCCTGGCTGTAGCTGCCCCCACTGGAGAGAACCGAGGGCCGGCTCATTTACATAGCTCCACCCATTAAGCGGGGCGGGGGGGGGGGTGAGAATTGTTTTAAGAGGCCTGTCCCTGGCCAGAGAAGGGCAAGGCCTGGGGACACTTTCTGAGAACGGGATAACCTGAGCAAGGCTTCCTTCCCACTGGGTGCAAAAGGGGAGGCTGCTGCACTGGGTCACGTAAAGGAAGGCAGGGTTTCTTTGCGCAGTGATTCCCCTGGAGGAGCCCTGAGGGGAAACACCGCC